CGCTATTGAAGCTGCTCCTCCGTTCAAAGCTCCAGTGGCTCTTCAAGCAGTAAATGATACAGTGCCGCTCACGCACTTTTACCCCCCCACGGGCAAAATCAGTCTAACTTCAAAGTTTTATATCTCTGGTAGAAATTAACGTACAGAGACGCGCGTGGGTGCGTTTGAAAGGTCTTTCGGAGAGCTTTCAAATGATATGATTCACGGTTGCCATCGATTGTTTTTTTAAATTTTGCAACAATTATGCAAAATTGAAAATTCTGAAATTTTTTTATTATTTTTGACAATTAGCCAATTTTGGAAAAAAAATCGTACGAAAATTTGAAGTACACCATTTTTTAGCTATTACCAAGCCCTATCTGAATCACTCATCAAAAATTTATTTTCGTCAAATATGACGCGCGCACGGACATTTTTTCCTGGAAGTGACAGTTTTTTTCAACATTTTTTATCTCCGTCAAATTGTAACAATCGAAAAAAATTTATAGGAGAAAAAATGTTTGTTGTTTCACGTAGAATACTGCAATAATTTTTTTTTTTGGTTTTTCGAAAAATTTTTTTTTTCGGTTTAAATTACTTTTCAAGGTCGAAAAAAAAAAGATTTTTTTTTTTATGTAATTTACGATACTTGTTATGTAGTATTATTGAATGGGTGGAAAAAAATTTTTTTTTGTGGTTTCTCATCTTTTTAGCGTACCGACTGTGAGAAAAAAAAATTGAAAAAAACCGAACAAAAAAATTTTTCGAAAAACCAAAAAAAAAATTATTGCAGTATTCTACGTGAAAAAACAAACATTTTTTCTCCTATAAATTTTTTTCGATTGTTACAATTTGATGGAGATAAAAAATGTTGAAAAAAACTGTCACTTCCAGGAAAAAATGCCCGTGCGCGCGTCATATTTGACGAAAATAAATTTTTGATGAGTGATTCAGATAGGGCTTGGTAATAGCTAAAAAATGGTGTACTTCAAATTTTCATACTATTTTTTTTCCAAAATTGGCTAATTGTCAAAAATAATAAAAAAATTTCAGAATTTTCAATTTTGCATAATTGTTGCAAAATTTAAAAAAACAATCGATGGCAACCGTGAATCATATCATTTGAAAGCTCTCCGAAAGACCTTTCAAACGCACCCACGCGCGTCTCTGTACGTTAATTTCTACCAGGGATATAAAACTTTGAAGTTAGACTGATTTTGCCCGTGGGGGGGTAAAAGTGCGTAAGCGGCACTGTAGATTTAAAAAAGGAAGCGCTCCACAAACTTTACCGGGAATAGGTAAAATACATGGTATATTTATTTTACTCCTACCGTCGGCCTTTTTCATAATTAAAGAAAACAGTGAGCAAAACCTTGACATTTGATCGAACTTGACGTGCCTTTTTCGATCTTGGCTCTTCAGGAGTCTTTCATTGGGATGATGGGGTTTAGTTTCGACGTCATAACTATAAACCCATGATTCGTCACTAGTTACAACTCTTTTAAGCATATCAGGATCATCATTGACGTAATTTAACAACTCTTGAGCGATGTTCTTACGACGGTCCTTTTGTTCAATATAAAGCAATTTCGGAACAAATTTTGCTGCTAAACGTTTCATGCCCAAAACGTCAGAAAAAATTTAATGACACGAGCCAATTAGAGATGCCGACGTCTTCAGTTATTTCTTTAATAGTGATTCGACAATTTTTTAACACTATTTGTTTCATTTCTTCAATACTTTCACTTTATTGAAGTGCTGGAGCGTCCAGAGCGAGATTCGTCGTCGGTGCCTTCTCGGCCATCTTAAAAGAGCTTATATCACTTGTAAACATTTTTTGACTTAAAGTTGACTCACCGTATGCCACTGTTAACAATTCAAGTGTTTTGGAGCATTTAATTCCATTTTTTAGACAAAATTTTATGTAAACTCTTTGATCCATTATTTTCGACAGCAGAAAATCGCCGAGCACAAAAAACATGTCTAACGTTTCTGTCTCGCAAAAAAAAATAAACATTCAAACTGGCTGAAATTGTGAGCATATATGAGAGACATACGAGGTGTGCTCAAAAAGTAAGGTGACATTTCAAATTTGTTTTGTTATGTTGGTACACTCTTCCCGAACATCTGTACCAAGTTTCAAGTGTATAGCATTTTTTGTTTGGTTGTGAGAGGCGTAAAGGTTATAAGTGTTTTGCGTGTTCGGCGATTTCTTTCTATCGAAAAATATGGATCAAAGGATTTGCATCAAATTTTGTGTAAAAAATAAAATAAAGTGCTCCGAAACACTTGAAATGTTGACGGTGGCATACGGTGAAACTGTTCTGAGTAAAAAAAATGTTTACAAGTGGTACAAACTCTTCCAAGATGGCCGGGAAGATGCCAATGACGAGCCTCGCTCTGGACGCCCAAGCACGTCAACAACTGATGAAAACGTTGAAGCAGTGAAGAAAATTGTTCTGGAAAATCGTCGAATCACTATCAGAGAAGTTGCTGAGGATGTTGGTATATCGCTTGGCTCGTGCCGTGAAATTTTTTTTAACGTTTTGGGCATGAGACGTGTGTCAGCGAAGTTTGTTCCGAAATTGCTAAATTTTGACCAAAAGAACCGTCGCATGAGCATCGCTCAAGAACTGTTGAATGACGTCAACGACGACCCAGATGTACTCAAAAGGGTCATAACTGGTGACGAATCATGATTATGATATCGAAACCAAAGTCCAATCATCCCAATGGAATAACCCAGATGAGCCAAGACCGAAAAAAGCACGCCAAGTTCGATCAAATGTCAAAGTTTTGCTCACTGTTTTCTTCGATTACCATGGCGTGGTGCATCAGGAGTTCTTACCATATGGACGTACGGTTAATAAACAGTATTATCTTGAAGTAATGCGCCGTTTGCGATAAGCAATACGAAGAAAACACCCATAATTTTGGAAAAACATTTCATGGCTTTTGCATCACGATAATGCCCCTGCTCACTCATCTTTGCTTGTGAGAGATTTTTTGGCCAAAAACAACACCACAATCATGCCTCAGCCATCATATTCACCGGATTTGGCCCCGTGTGACTTTTTCTTGTTCCCTAAACTAAAGAGACCTATGAAAGGACGGAGATTTGCAACGATTGAAGAGATAAAGACTGCATCGCTGGAAGAGCTCAAGGCTATACCGAAAAGTGCTTATGAGAAGTGCTTTGAGGATTGGAAAAACCGTTGGCATAAGTGTATTGTATCTGAGGGGGATTACTTTGAAGGGGACAACATAAATATTGATAAATAAATAAATATTTTTTCTTAAAAATACAAAGTCACCTTACTTTTTGAACACACCTCGTATACAGAAGAGGAGGAGACAAATTAGAGTCATTTACAGATTCAAGCTTCAGAGATCAAACAGACTCTACCTCCACAGGTGGATACATAATCAAATTATATGGAAATACAGTAGCATGGAGAAGCTACAAACAAAATTATGTATCACTTTCCACCTGTCAAGCAGAATATCTGACGATGAGTGAAGCATGTCAAGAAATAATATCACTTGACAAAGCCATAAGAGACATGACTGGAAAAACATACTTTCCAGCCACCATCTGGTGTGACAATGACTCAGCTGGAAAATGCACTCAGAAATATGGATCTCACAAGTTGAAAAACTTTGATGGTGAAGTTCCAGAAATTCAGAGAAAATTCAGAGAACAGACCGGAAGCAAGATTCACATGGCAGTAACTCACGAAGATTATGTTAAGAAGTTTGCCTTAGAAAACAGAATAGTGGTCAAATGGGTAGAAAGTAAAGAGAACATAGCTGACATTATGACGAAACCTCTACCAGCACCACAACACATATACTTAAGAGACAAAATAATTAATTCAGAGTCTACACAAATAAGTTAATAAAATTTTATATGTATCTATTTTACGGAATCCCCTAACAAGGAAAATCCAGAGTAAGGCTCACGACGGGAGGGAGTGAGAATGTACGTCGTGACCACCACTGGAGGCGCCACCTTCCAGCGGCTTGGTTTTGGCGCGGCTCGGAGGGAGAGAGTAAAATGCTCTCTCTCACTCTCTGCTTAACGCTGATTACGAAAGCAACGTTTAGTTTTTGAGAAAACTTTTAAGAGTTTCTTCTTGTTCAATTGTAACTTAGCAGTGTGGGCAGTGTTTCTTTAGCCTATATTTATATTTAAGAGTTAATAAAGAGCTCAGTTAATAATCTTGTGTTCATTAAATATATATATATATATATATATATATATATATATATATATATATATATATATATATATATAAGTGCCTATATATAAATAAAGCGAGCTCCTCTAACAATAAGAATAATAAACAATTTTTGTTTTATTTTTTAATGGTAAGAGCCCCAACTATCGCTCTCACCTGTGAGGTACTTCCATTTGAGTATCATCACTTGTGAGTCCATTAGAACAAGTCGAAACCTGCTTTAGTAGAAATACCTGTAACTTCTTTACCTCTTCACAATATATTATATAATAAATTTATTGTACAAGCTTAATTGAAATAAAGATACCCTAGTAAAAAAATCCTTAATGAATCTGCTCTGAAATCAGTTCTGATTTTTCTCTGATTATGTTCTGAATAAGTTCTGATAGTGTTTTGAAACTGCTCTGATGTTGTTCTGATTTTGTCCGAAATCGCAGCTCTGAATCAGAGCACAATCGGAGCAAAATCAGAGCAAAATTAGAGCACTATCAAAACTTATTCAGATCATTATCAGAGCTGAAAACAATATTTGGAAACTATGAATAAGGTATCCAATTTATTATTTATAAAATAAACAATTATTTATTATTATTTCCATTGTTGTTAATCCAATCAACATTTTTTATTAAACATTATTATGTTTGAAAAAAATAAGAAAAAATAATTTAGGTACGAAATAAAATACACATTATTTTATTTTCCATCGTGTAGAAATTTATTTAAATATTTATATTCAAGACTTAGATTACTACAATAACTGTAATTGGATGTACTGTCCGTTTTGTTTATGAAATAAATAAATAAATAAATAAATAAATAATGTTTCTTAACTGACGAAAACTTAAAAAATTAAACTTTACCATGTTGTCTGTAAAATAGAAGACTGGATGTTTTTGAATTCTTATTAAACATACAAAAATCAATTAAACATCCTTCCAAGTCTTTCTCTTTTTTTTTCTTTTCTGTTTAGTTGATTCCGCTCCTCGTATTGGCGAAGTTGATACTGAATTTCTTCCGCCATGTAATGGTCTAAGCTATGCAGTATGCCCTTCAAATCTCGCTCGTACAACCAATATTCATGGAAAATTAAAATCCAATATTTTAAACATTCTACAAGTAAAAAAAATTATGTACAGTAGAAGCCAGGTAAACTTTTGTGAAATAATTGTGTAATTCATTTTAAAATATTGGAAAATACTTACGATAAATAGATTTCATTTTCGTGGGAGTCATTGGCGTTCTTTTTCTACCGGTGACAGATTTCATGAAATTATCCTTCACTTCAGTAGCCCTATCTATAATTTCCTCTCCCCAAAGAGCTCGAGATAAATTTTTTGCAAAGAGACTTGGATTTTTCGATTTTTTAATATTCCTCCAAGACTTTCGGGCAATTGAATGATTCCACCCAGTGTGGATCATTTTAGTTACCTGAAAAAAGTATTTACATTATTATAAAACAAGACTAAACACAGGAATATCCTCATTTCAAATTACGTAGAAATATAATTTTTGTCACACTTACATTGTCGTCCTCGTCACAATCTGACCACTCTTCAAATACTTTTAATTCTGTTTCTCCTATGTCAGAATCAGATAAATAATTACTGTAAAATTCCTCTTCATCTGGTCGCTGAACTCGATGTCTGTCTCGATTCACGGGATATTTACGTTTCAAGGAGAAGCGATTCTTTCGCGATTGCGTCCTGGTTCCTTGGTTTTGTCCATTGGCAGACTGATGTGAAAATTTTCGTCCTACCATTAGGCTGTTGTTCATTTTGTGCTTGTGAGTATGACTTGGTTCTCGTTCGTCTGTAATAATTTAATTATTACTAGAAATAAAAAATACAATGTGCATATATTGTTTTCATATTGCAATCAACATTACCAATATCAAATAAATTTTTTCTAATAGTCGAGCAAGAAACTGTAGGAGCACGTTTGGGCGACACCGGTATATCTTTATTCTGATTACTTTTTTGCGCATTTTAGATTCGAGCTCTTAATGCTTCCGTGTCTTCATACAGTTCATTATCACCTTCATTGTCAGATTCGCCAATGTCACTCCCACCATTATAGCCAGAATCGTTATTAACTATTTCAGAATTTTGTGTCATCATTGTCAACGCTGAAATTTAACATGTTATTCTTTTTTAGAATGTCAATTCGCTTAACGAAAGGTTTATGAGTTTGAGCAGTTTTAACAATTTTCCGATTTGTAGAAGACTAGAAAAAAAATCAATGTAGTCTTCATCGTTAACAGGTCAGCTATTATTGAAAAAAAACTTACTGTTGTAATTAAACGTACCTCCTTTTTATTGATGGTCTTAACACCATGCAGAGAACTGTTACTGTTTTGTAAAGTTGATTCTTTCGTTTTCAAATCGCTATTATTAAATTTAGTTTTATTAAAACGTTTGGATTTATGTAGACATTCAAAAATCAGTGTTTTCTTATCTGAAAAATTCATAAATACGAATTATAAAATACCATTATGCGAAAATTCATGTTTAAGAAATGCGTACATACAACCAATTGCATAAATTTCAATGGCGGTTCGTTTATGGTTACGTTGATCAATTAATGTGTATGGTATCTTTGGTTCAAAGTCTTCCTCTTTTTCTGGAGGAGATTCTAAGAATTCACTAATCTGATCGACTTGCACAATCAATTGTTTCTCATGTCGAATATCCCTGACAAGAGCATGAGTCATATTCATAAACTATTGCAGCAGACGGTTGCAATTATCTAACACTATAAAAATATAAGTTAGTATTAATTGATGAATAAATGTTCTCATCAAATTGAAAAATAAAAAAAAGTTTCTTGAATTGAACATATAAATATACATACGTCCTACTGCAAAAATTTGTATATCTCTTTAACAGTCCCTCAGAATCGTAAGATTCGTAAATAGCGTATTGGTCAAAATCCAGTGAGTGATTAAAGAGCCATAGTTTATTTACAACATCATTCAACGATAAAATAACAATGCTCCCAGTATCGATGTATCTTATTACGGCATGTGTGGGAGACTCTAATAATGATCTATACAGACTCTCCATCTCGCCTTCATCTACAAAAATTATAAAATCGTGATAAAAACGAAATTTACAAAATTTTTAAATGTTGAGAAGAGTGCCAAACAGCAGTCAATATTTCAAGTATTATACAAGCTTAGTTTATGAAGCCAAAAAATATTGAAATGTAGAATGAAAAATATTTACCACCAAACGCCTGTATGTACACTTCCTCAAAAGAATTATTATTGCTAGAATTATTGTTGCTACATTTCACACAATACGATTTTGAAGAATCAAATCTCGTAGGATATAAGGGCACAAAAGATTTAAATTCTTCAATATCATAGATTTTAATAACTTGAAACGTTTGGTTATACATCCATTGTACCACAGCATGAGTTAGTTTAGAACCAGCAGTCACATTCATAATAACATTCATCATTTTATAATCTGAAAAAAACAATGTACAAGTTTAGTATATTAACTTAAATACATGTAAACAAAACATGAATCGAGTACCTCCAACAGCAACAATTTCTACTTCATCAATTTTTCTGCCTTTTTGTATAATATACGGTGTGTAGACATCAAAATCTCTGTAAGTCTTTGGTGCAAAATGCTTAATATCACTGATTTTTGCAATCTCCAATTCTTCTGACTCGATGTTAAATACACAATCATATGTGATTTCAGCCATTATTAATAATTCTATAAAACATAAATTCTGTTGAAAAAATAATATATTAGTGAATACTTCTTTTAAAAAAATCTACTATGCTAGACAGACTTTAAGCCTATCTTACTTTACTTCTTCACAATTTATTTTGATTTTATTATCATTAAAGATCTTATATTTTCTTTTTGCTCGATAAAATATTTACTTGCAAAGCCAAGTATCTGACTATACAAGGTATGAACATACGTACATTACAGATAACATTTGTATTGAAATAAGTAAATATTATATTTAAATAATCTTGTTATAAATTATTTAAATATCATTATGATTTTTTACCAAATTCAATAAAAAAATGAAGCTGTATTCTAACCTTATCCTACTTGTTGAAACAGTTCTTCTTCCAAATTTTGCAACAATTGCACTCAGTCTCTCGACTTAGTAGCCTCTCGAGTCACATCGTATGATCTTTATAATAATTTTCACTGAAAAATATATGAAAATTAAAAACCTTATGTCAAGCAATGAAGACATACATTTTGCTGTGGTCAATTATACCACTGTAAATGTCAAATTTGATATTTTGTAGTGAATTTCATTATGGCAGATACTGAACATCAGAATATTATAAATTAATGCTTATTTATAGATAAAACTTGTCAAAAGGAAGAATTGTTTTCAATTGCTGATTATTCTACTCACATGATGATGAATATTGATCCTTTATTTAGTCAATTGTGTAGCAATATACTCCAAGCATAAATTGAGATACACAATCATATTTTTATTAATTGTCTTTATGGAAGTAAAAAGCAATAATGCACTCGATCAAAACTTTACGCATTTTAAGAAAGTCACACAAGCAAAGGCAAATGCCGCGTGTGTACACAGCGTTCAGCAGCATTTATTCTTGAGACCCGAATGCACATAAACTGAGCGAGTGTGCAGTCCGTTTGAACCAGAATGATGCCTATGATTGGTTGATCTCAAAGCATTTGGCCAATCACAAGCGCAGAGACAACGTCAATTTTGTCGTTGTCGCTGCTGCGCCGTGAAAACGGTTACAAGGCTCTTTAGTAATTCTTCAAGCGGTTGGAACAGAAATGAAGATAGGCGTGAACTGGGTAGAATTACAATATTTATTATTAGGGATTTCCAACAGGACGGAGCACAAAATCAAAGTCGAAAACGAGCGGAATTACAAAACTGAATTGCCACGAGGCAATTGTAATAATCGACCCGACTGCGTGCGCGAGAGCGAGAGTTCGCTGGTCGGCGTCCGGAAGGAGAAGGGAAGGTTTGCTCCGATCAGCCTCATGAGCTGCTGTCTTCTCCTCCAGCACCTGAGCGCCACCACAGCCATTTCCCCGCTGCGTGGATGTTAGCACTGCTGAAGGCACAGGCGTCCGAGTGGTGTCAGTAGCGACCTCGCGTGGGACACCACAGCTCCCACTACAAAATAAGCTGTTGCTTAGCCGAGTGCCGACGCGCGTGAGATGTGTGTGTAAAGCAAAATGGCGGAACGAAACTGACGCTGATACATCACAGTCACAAGTCACATTTGTTAAGTTTTTGTTTTGTACACAAAATGATGTTGGAACGGTTTGAAGTAAAAACAAAATAAAATAAAATCATTTACAATGGCATTGCTATTATTGAAATAATCAACCAGGTAAGATATAACTTTATATACGTTTTTGCTTTATAAAAAATGAAAATGATGACTGTTGTCTTGTACAACAGGAGAGAAAAAGTATTGTTAACTGCTACATTAAATTCTTTTTATTAGATTCTACGTTAATTTTGTAGCAAGTAACCTTGTTATCAATATTACAACTCTTTCGTAATTCCTGTCTCCAAATATTTATGATTGTCATGTAAAAAGTTCTTTCTAATTCATGTTTTGGCAAGAGTAAAACATTCATAAGATACTTTTTATCTATATTGTACCTATTCATATTGATCTTGAATTTTGAATGTAATTTATTAATTGCAGATGGACACAGAAAATTGAACCATCTGCTGTGGTTTATTAATGCAGTACAACTCTGTGCGTTACACTAAATGTAAGAAAAGAGTGACTAAATAATTGAGATGAAACATGTAGAATCGCTGTAGGAAACTGAAGTACCTGTTACTTATATTCTTTATATGGTTGCAAATCAATATCGAATAAGCCTTTCATTCATGGAAACGTAATGGTAAGTCATGTAAAAATTATGTTCTAATAGATTAATTAATACATTTCCTGTGATATTTATTACTATATTTCCTGTTTTCAGGTTATCTATGTTCAGTAATTTGTAATATTTTGAGAAAGGAGAGTTATACTTATAAAATAAATAAAATGAATGGTAAGAGAAGACAAAGCAAGCAAACAACGAGGCGCAAGAATCTTTTCTACCTCTTGGCAGGTATAAAATATACATAGAAAAAGGAATAAGTCCTTTGAGATCTACAAAACATGATCAGCACAAATATGAAATTTCTGATAGCGATATGAGTATCGACGATGAAAAGGTGTTTATAGAACTATTTATGTAGCTTGTTCGTATTAACCTATTAAAATATTATACTATGTCAATTATGTTATGTTATAACATCATTAATATTATGTGATTTTATTGTATTTACTACTGTAATTGTTATATATTTTATTTCTATTACAGGAATTTTATAACATTATCATTCCTGTGGCAAACACTTCACTGGCAAAACATCTTGAATGGAAAATTGATTATCGTAGTCAATCAAATCACTGCAGTCCTATTATACCAAAGGACAAACGTGAACAAATCTCAAAGGAAGAAGAAATACTCAAAACTTTGTAGGAATTTGACCAGGAGCATTGTCTATTGAAAGATTATTTAGTAGATGATGAATATGATACTGAGAATTATGAAACTCCTTTTTCTACAGCTATGCGATGGAATGAAGAAGATGTGAGTAATTATTGATCAATATGTTTGTTGTTGGCTATAACTATTTGATTTTATCTATTATTTCTGCATTATTGTATACAATACAATGCAATACAGAATTTATTCATTCATTGTTAAAGCTAGGAGCACATACTTTTAATAAGATTTTTCTTGTTAAGTTGGAATAATGATTCAAACAAATTATTTTTCAGGTTAATAGGTTAGGGGAAACTTATTGTTACGATAACGAAAGCGATGATTCAGAATATGAAGATTTTTGGTCAAGCGGAACCCCAGAAGATGATTCCAAGCTTCAAAGTAAATTAAGTGAAGGGAATCTAGATAATGTAATTAATGCAATTGAAAACAAATCGTTCGAAAAACTGTTTCGCGTTAACTAAACATAGATATTTTATTAAATTGGTAAAATTTGTAGTCGATGAAAAAAAAAAATGGAATTTGCGTTATATAACCATATACATACAAAAATATCGTTCAAGAATTGTTTTAACATTGTGAAAATTACTAATATTGAAAAAATAGAAAAAGTAATTGAAACTAATCATATAATATGCATTCCTATACTTGTAAATACGCCGTCTGGTATGTATCTTAGTGCAGTGCCTAATGATCTTCATTATTAATGTAACTTTTTTAAGAAAATGAAGAAACAAAAATATACCATTAATGTATTATTTAGATCGCGAATTATCGTATTATGTAACACTTTCATTATCAAAATTTACTGCTTTGTGGATTTGCGGTTAACTATGCATATGTTTTTTCGTCGATTATCATCTATTATTTATATTATTGTATATTAGAACTACGTTCAACACAAATATGATAGTTTTTATTGATATTTGTGATAGTATGTAAATACACTTATTCAACGTAATGTCACTGTAATAATATTTAGTTTTAATAAATTTTGTACAATCATGTTTATTGGTGCTCCTCAATTATCAGCTGCGCTGCCTTACTTGCTTCCAAATTTACTGCTGCTTTGCTGCCGCTTTATTTGCTGCTGCTTCTAATAACTCATGCATGTCCAAAATCCCAGTAAACTTTTTATGGAAAAAACGGTGAAACACCGTGAAAAACTAATTTGGCGGTACTCTACTAAGTAACGGCTGAGACTTAACTGAAACTGAGACTTAACCTCTCGCCCGCCCTCTCACTCTCTTAGTCGTTCGCTCTAGCATCGCGAGTGCTACAGAATCGCGAACGGATCGATTTATCGAATCGACTACCGTTGCAGTAGCTAATATACACAATAAGCATGCTTTAGGTACATGTGGCATTGGCTCTAGTGGTAGAGCGCTAGCCTGTCAAACAGGGTACGCCGTTTCGATTCTCCGATCTCTCTCTTCATTTTTTTCATTTAACCCTTTCTATTCATTTCCAATTCAACAATTAAATTATTAAAAATATTTATAATTATTTAAATTACATTTCAATAAATAAGACATGAAGTACTGGGATCCCTATGGATTAGGAGCCCTAGAAACCTTCCTCAATATAAAATCCTTCTTCAAAAAGTATAAATAATTATTAACATTAATAATAATTAACATGAAAGGGTTAAGCCAAGGAACCAAAGAGTTAAGCCCCGCAGATATTGTTAATAATAATTATTAATAGTAATAATTATTAATGTTAATAATTATTATTAACAATAAAGGTTAGTCCGGGGGACCAAAGGGTTACGGATCCCCCGCAGAGCGGCTTGAAACATAAATTGCTATACTACTTTAACCCAATCATAAAATCGTCTTAAGAGTTTGCTTCCCTTATTTTTGAGACGGTAGAATCATATTTTCTCAAGTAAATTTTCGCGATAAAAATTCAAAAGTTAACTTAAAATAATTGAAAAAAATTATTTTCATAATCTTAGAAAGAAAATTTATTCTTATTTATTTTTATTTATAGTTATTAAATCTAAATGAAATCTATTAAATTAAAATTTGTTGATTTTCTATTGGATTAGTCTGTAGAGTTAATAGTATAAGAATAATGGTGGGTGCTCTATTGTGTGGATCACACCCAAAGAGAAACATCAATAT